ATCACCTTGCTAATCAACAGGGACTACAGATGGAAAAAACAATTAAAGTAATCAGAAGCCATCAATATTTACTTCACACAGCAAGTTTTTAATTGTCACTTAAAGACAATCCAACACAAGGGCATAATTTAATTCAATTCAATTTTCAGCTAGGGATAGAAAGACCGTTTTAAATTGTTCATCTCAAACTCAAAGATTATTAGCTCCTTTTTAACTTGTCTGACAGTGAAGTATCCTAACTAGAAATCTTGAAGCATGTGCTTTCGAGGAAACTATCTTGGAAACTGTGATATCTGTGGTCTTTTGAGCATTCGGTGAAAATGATGGTGCATTTAATGACTGAACATTTATGAGCTGTTCTCAAACAAGCAAACAGGAAATTTGGCAGTAAACAGGAAATTTGGAAAGCTGCTTAAGGGGGAATATAGATCTCTAGGTGCAAACTCAGCAGCTCCAGGCGAACAGCAGAAACATGTTCTGTTATAACCATTCACAAAAGAGGCGGTGGGGGGGAACACACATACTATTTTACTTCTGTAAAAGTATCTACAAAATCCCGCCTACTGGACTCGTTGAATAACTCTTTTGAGATGTTTGCCCTCCAAATCCATTGCTGAGCCTTGCTTGAACCATTTTGCAGACAGATATACTGCTTAAAGCTGTTGTGAGCCCCATCCTCCACAGAGGCAGAGGCTCTGTGGGACAAGGGAGGAAAGGAGCAATCTTTGTGGTGGCTCGGCTGGAGAGAAACTGGTGGGGCACCAGGGCAAAAATTGAGAACTAGAGATGGTCCTCCCCTCCCCGCAGCAGGACATAGCATTAGAACCCATTGCTGGAGACAGCTGAAGGGGAAGGAGGCTGCCAGCATCTCTAAAAGAGCAATTGCTTAAGAAAATAGCTTTCCCCAAGTATCAAATCTTGAAAAATGCGATAACCTTAGGAAGAAATGGTGGAGAAACCCTCATCTCCAAAATTAGTAAATGAAAATCAGGGTGGTTTTTTTTTAAGCTTGGATTGGGACTAACTTTTTAGTCAATTAAATTGAACCCAAAAGCTGATGATGGATTTGTGATAATGGACTTTTGTAGAGACATGACATTAGCGCCCATTTAAGAAGATTTTTCTGTGCATGCCACAGACAATGAAACTTGGCTGTGACTTTTTTTCTGAGCATTCTTACGAACGAGTTAGGGACTTTATATCCCTTTCCCATGACAGCTTCTATAGGGTACCAGTCTCTCCCCTTCAATGCACGATCAGCAAGCGAAGAAGCTGTTGACTGCAACACCTCCAGTCTTTGAATGATGCTAAGCTCCAGACTGATGCCTTTCCCGAACTGATCACTGCAATAGAATAATCCATCCCTTGTCAGCAGAGACCAGGACAGAGCTCAGAATTAATTGGCTGAAGCTCAAACTTGATAAGCTCAAGATAATATTTATAGGTCAGAGGAAACAATTGAAAGGAACATCAAACATAACACCAGCATGCACAACCGGTGGAGTTTATCTGCCCCTTGTTTTAAAACCCAACTGTCTCTGCCTGTCGCAGGACACGCCTGGTCGAGAGCAGTTTTCAGAAACATTCGTTTTAAATGCCATGTGCCTCTGCCTCTGGCCAAGTTCAGACTCCTTGTTTAATCTGCTCTGTACAAAGAGGTTTTGATTGCATGAATGCTTGGAAAATATCTGTTCTTTGTGAAAATATTTGCCTGTGCATCCTAGCAAAGAGGACTGTGCATAAACACCATTCCTGATGGTGATACTGATGGCTGTCTACACTTCAGATATACCACAGTCTCTGCTGTTCCCTCATTTGAAAAGAGCTGTGAACTGAGTGCCCACCACTCCAATTCATATGCACAGAGAAGCGATGTCTGCAGGGTAAAAGGGGTTACTTTTAGCAGTATACTTGTTATTTGCAGGGAGGGAACATACACATTAATGTTGTTTGCTCAGTATATCCAAATTTCAGCAGACATCCAAGGCATCTTTCCAAGGTGCCCGAAGTTGAAATGAGCCTGTATTTTGTGGTTTGATTATTCCTTTCTCCCTTCCTCCCAAAGAAAACTGTTGCAGCGTTGCTGATAGGACTTTATTGTATTGCAAAGTATTTAAAAGCACTCTTTTACAGTTTTGCCACACTAGCACACTTTGAGATGCAGTGAAGCCCATTATCAGAGATCATCCTTTAGGGATTCTACATCCAGCAAAAATAGCACTCGGTTTGTGGATTACTCTGTGTTTTGATGTTCAGGCTTTGCAAGACAGAATTTTCTGTAGTAATCCACAATTGTGAGATGGAGCCTTTTCTGTTCCACAGGCCCAAATTGGTGTCAAAGATCTTTCACAAGGCAGGGTAAGTAAAAAAAAAAAAAAAAAAAAAAAAAAATTCAGCAGCAATATGCTTATACCCCCTCTGGGTTCACTTGCCATTTAGAAATAGTGAATACTTGTAAATTTTAAGCTGGTTTTATGAATTATTCACAACAGAAAAAGGATTCTGAGTTGCATTTGTACAATGAAAAAACACAGATGATAGATGGTTTCACTTGTCCAATGAAAAATCAACTATCACAGCTTGAATTTTGAATACTGATACCAAACTGCTAATGAATAATTTGCAGATCAGGGATTTTTAAGTGAATAATTTTTAACAAATAAATTTGAGAAAATCAGACAAGTGGTTCATCTGCTTCTTTTGGAGCAGCTAATTCGCCCATTCACTCCCTTCTGCAGCTCAGTTGCACTGATTTGGTTCTCAAAGGACCAAAAAGAAAATGCAAATTGAAGTAAAAAGTGCACTGGAAAAATGATAGCATGTTACTCTGCCAATTCAGAGTGGCAGGGTGTGTAAGCAATAGGGTAGGAGAAGAGCATCTGTTAAACCCGCTAAAAATATAGTACCAGGTTCTCATAATCTGCATTGGGAAATGACTTTGAAGAAAGAATGGGGCATGGGGAAAAGCTTTATTCACTGAGAACACTAAAGGGAAAGCAATTTCCTAGTGTCAATTAAACAACTCAAGGATGGAGCAAATTTTTGGCTAGATCAGGAGCCGGCAAAAATGTTTCAATGGAGGTTAAGAAAACAAAAGAACTCTGGGTCAGTAAGAAGGCTCTGGGGTGGATTTGCTGGGGATAAAGGGAGTCCCAGGGGCCCATGGTCCCCTTCCCCCCATAGCACTCTTTTATGCCATATGTGCTCTGGATGTGTGGCAGGGGAGCTGCTGCCCCTTTCCCCAGCCCGCCTGTGGCTGCCTCTACAGTCCGTCATTATACTCACAAACCCACCACTCAAAAGCAAACATGTGCCTAAATTTTGCGGTTGCATATTGACTTTGCATTCTCTTGTAGTTTCTGTTCCATGGGGCCTTTCCGCATGGAGGACGGGCTTTAGCTTAGTTTTCCTTTTAGTCTCTTTGGTGTTAATTATATATCATGCTACAAAGTATTATGCTACATATTTCTAACAAGTAGGAACTCACTTCAAACCGTTAATGATACAGCAGGTCTCCAAACTATTTAAGCAAATTCGTGGTGCAAACTGTTGTTCCCATGAGGAAAATCCCTACTTAAAGTTGTGACAATACTGAGCCCTCATTCAGCCCTTCTAGTCTTCAGAAGTTCGTCAAAACAATAACTCCAATAAAAAATTCCTGGAAGCCCATACAATACTTTACGTGAGTCCTATTAGACCCATTTTACAGATGGAGAAATCAGGAAAGAAAAGCTATGTCACTCCACCTAAACCACAGTAAGCCGAGTTTTCAGGGCTGGGCTATAACTTAGGAACTGGTGGTTTCCAATTTTGTGGTCCGATAATTAAACCAGGCATTCCTCTTCTATTGAAGCTAATCTTTGAAAAATGAGTGCCTTCCCTTTAAGAGGTTTCCAAGCATGTATGCAAAGAGGAATTTATGACCTACAATTTATGTAAAGAACTTCCTTTTCATAAATCAATTTATTAAAGCTCTGGAGAAGCTTCCAAAGGCTCTGATCCAGCAGTGCACTTAGACATGTCCATAACTTCAAACAAGTAAATTGTCCCATTGAAGTGCTTTCCTGGACTGGGGCCAAAGAAAGTGCAGTTCTCCCCTGAGTCAAGGTTCAGATGTAAAATGGGGAAAAATAATTTATCAAAAGTTTAATAAGTTACACAACCATGGCAGAGCTCTGCCAGCCTTCCACATTAATACCTCAAACCAATAAGAAATGGCCTCAGGGAGATAATTGCCTCCTTACTGATAGGACGTGATGGAATGTTAACCTTCATCTGGGGGATGCAGTGTTAGTGGCTTTTCCCGAATTTGGCAGATCCCACATCCAGGCAATGGGAAACTTCAGAGGGGCCATGCCCGGTTCTAGCAACACTCCTGGGGCATGAGATCCCTCTGGTTCAACTAGTACTCGCTTTTAAAGATCATCCTTGCAGGGGAACGAAGCATTGCGATATTTCAAGGATTTGGAGGATTTTATGAGGTTTTGTAATAGTGAAATCACTTTGACAAGAGGACTATTCACACCTTCTTCCGGACTCCTTCAGTGGTAAATACTTGGGAGACAGTACTGAACATACTGTTACGCGCTGCTGGCAGCCTCGCCGGGAAACTACGCCAAGGACAGCGTCTCTAATCTGCTGAAAGACTTGTGTGTCGAGGTCATGTGCGGAGCAGTCGGAGGTAACCGGACCTTGTGCTAGCTGGGAGTGTGGAACGAGATGTTAAATGCTAAAAGAAAGAGCGAGCTCCTAGGGACGAGAAGTGAATGTGACTCAAATTAGCAGGGTGACACCTCTGAGTAACGAAACAAAGTGATTTTCTCCGCTCTGCATTGCTGATTCCTGGGGATGCACAGTTACCAATGGTCTGCAGACCTCCTTCAAGGTTCGCCTAAGGTTGTTACTCAGAATGAGTGGCAAAGCCGCCAGACTTAACAGCCCATTCTTATGTGTTACAAAATCCAACACAAGCATCATCGTAGTTTCAAAATGATACTTACATCTACAATTAGGAAATCCAGCCAGCACCAGGCATTGGTGAAATACTTCTTGAAGCCATAAGCCACCCATTTCAGGAGCATTTCCAAGACGAAGATGTAAGTGAATATTTTGTCAGCATATTCCAGCATGGTTTTTATGTTTTTTCGATCTTCAAGGTAAATATCTTCAAAAGCCTGGAAGTACAAAAGATATATTAAGACACTTCTGCTAAGCTGTGTTGGAAAGCACTGGTGCTGCGCTACAACTCTATGGTATCATTTGTACTGTCTGTGATTTCTGATATATTTTAATGTTACCATCAGAATGAGAGCACAGGCACAAATGGGACTGACCCTAACCTAAACGAGGTCTATTCAGCTTTCCCTTATCACAGACACAGGCTTAGCTGTCTCTCTCCAGCCTCGATGGGCTGTACTGAGTAGACATCCTTTGAGTGCGAGAGGAGCTCAAGCACCCCGGATTTGGGAACATGCATCTGTGAGCAGGGTGCTACCCCAAGGTGCCCGAGGGCATCCTGCCTCAGCTCCTACTGGTCATGCCACTGCTATCGGGGTACCTCAGGTGCCCAAGGGCAAGGGACGCCTGTCTATAGGAGGCAGAATATGACCCTTACATTTAGACAAATATGTTTTATTGCTAATGATGACAAATGAGGTTATTAACCTGCTTACGCCTGTGTTATAGAGTACTGGAGTTCCCTGGCTTCTGTTCAGCCATCACATTTAAGGTAGCTGCAACTATCTGCCTCAAGAAATGCTTATTATTATTCACTTAGCAGAACAATTATGTTTTAAAGGTCAAAGTATCTATCTACCCATCTCATCTGTCTTGCTAACTAATCCTATGTGGGGCATCATCAAAGGACTTTCAGTATCTGTATCAAGTACAAGCAACTTAATAACCCCGTTAAAATATTTAAGATATAAACCAATATGCCTACTAAAACAAAACAAATAACGTTGTCTCATAATTTAGCTTTCACTTTGGAATGTATTTCAAATAAAATGCAGTACCCTAGTGTCAGGGTTGCATACATACGGCCTGTTTTGGGGTTTCGAGCAGCGGTTATGGTCTGCTTCCCCAGCTGCTCAAGTGACCGTAATTACACCGGCTGCCCCCGTGTCCCTGTAACCCGGATGACCCAGGCTTTGACATTACTCTTGTCCCACCGTGTGACCCAGAGCACTTGGCAGCAAGAAAGCACAACATTGTTCGAGAGGATCTGTGCTAATCTTCTTAACTATCTGCATTTACATATTTCAATATCTGTAACTACTTTCTGAGGAACTTCAAAAAGTTAGCAAACACCCAGTGCCTGGAGATACAAGAAGTGTGTTACTTGTCACTCAAGCGGTCACACTGCTCTTTTGCCTGCCAGGGAACAGTAATTAAACTGACAAGAAAGCTTTGGCACAGGCTGCCAAAGCTTGTCCATTTGTCCCCACACTTTGGGGTGACGTTTTCACTGCGACTCGGTCTCCTATCTTGCCTTCAAAAATGATATTTCCAGGGTGTGAAAGAGCTGTTGGAGAAAGCCACAGAAAACAATACACAGAGAGATTGGAGTTTATCACTTCTTGTAGGGGCTCACTCACTTTGTCAGATGACTTGCTGTACTTTGCAATTACTGCAAAAATAACAACAAACTATTTAAAGTGATTTCCTCCTCTCCCTCCATTGCTCTCCCTATTTTCTACTAACTTGACAAAAAGTATATTGTGTTTTGCCTACTACAAACACACTGTGAGTCAGGAAGCAGCTTAATAAGGGATGAAAAATACATTACCTGCATGCCTTAGGTGCACTGTACTGCTGCACGAGCAATGGATATTACCCAAATGACAAAACTCTCGTGCTTTGTGGTTTTTCATGGTGACAACGGGTGACATCTTTGCAATATAAAACATCACTAAGGGTTATTTTTTCTGCTTTGCTTTGTGTGTTAAAAAAGGGTTAAACAGGATACCCGCGGTGTTATCCACAACTACTAGGCTCCCGATTTGGGTGCTTATGGCTTAAATGCGTAAGAAAGGTTTTGGGGTCTTTTGCAGCAAGCTATAGATATATTATGATGGTTTAACTACCACAGACAAATATATCCTGGCTTTTAATCTCCATTAAGGACTTAGCATGTCCCAGGGATGTAGCCAGATGAACTCAGTTTTTGGAAGAGCTCACCCCAGAATAACAGGAGAAAAAAGTTGTGTGTTCCCTCCAACATCTCCCGTCCAAATACTGAAGCACAGTGCTGATATGTGAGAAAATGCAACATAATTTGCCCTTATACAGAATTGCGCTGGCTAAATTGAAAATTGCAAAAAACTAAATGAATGCATGCAATGAAAATTAAATGAGATTTATATTGCTGTGTTCAGTATCTAAGGCACTTTTAATTACATATGTAAGGAAGCGTATTCATCTAAAGTGTATTACAGCAAGTGACATGCCTCCTTTGAAATGTGTTAAAAAATTAACATGCTGATCTTCAAACTGGTATAAAAACTGACAGACTCCATTGATTTCAGCAAAGCAATGACAATTTTCAGCAGCCTACTATTTACCCAAGTTTTTCAGTCTCTTGCTTTTCATAATAAAATAAAATCCACTGGGTGAAACTTCAGCCCATCCCTGGTGGATCTGGAGAACGGTCCATTCCTTTCCTTTTCCATCAACATTTATGTATTTTCATCTTCTTGTCTCCCTGCAGAGACTTTCTTTAAACTACATAAACTCAGTACTCGTGTTTTCCTCTTTTTTTAGGCCACTGATAATTTGTGTTGCTTTCCTCTGGAGTTTCTTCAATTAGCCCATGTCTTTCCCAAAGTGCAAGGCCCAGAGCTGAAGCCAGTGCTCCAGCTGAGGCCTCCTTGATGCCAACTGGAGTGGAAGAACATGCTTATTTATACAGCCCAGTGGGGTGTTTGGCTTTTGTGCGGTGCTGTGATGTAGTTTACTCTGTCCTGTGTGTTGCCTGTTCTCTCTTCAGCTCTTTTTAGTAAATCTGCTACTTTACCAGTCATCCCGCATCATGCCTCTCTGCCTGTGATTATTCCTGTTGAGGTGAAGCAGGCACCTTTCTAAGATGATGTTCCTCTTACTATTTAAGGCAGATTCATCCATTTGGCTGAAGTTAATCCTGACCTCCAGAAATACACGGATAACCTGTCCAAACTAGGCACAGCCTGCAAATTTAGTAGGTGTATTTGTTACTCCATCATGGAGGAGAAGGTCAGTGACCACCGGACCAAAGCCTGGAGAACTCTTGATATACCCCTTTGGGTATATCAAACCTGACAGAAATCCCACCAACTTCAGTGACATCCCTGACATGTAATTGAGCAACATAAATAAAAGCTGCCATCGCTGCGAAGAGCCCAGGACTGATAATATGGAGAGGATAATCCCAGTACGCAGTGGGATCTCAGGAGGAGAAGATCCCTTATCAGCATCCTAGTCAATGACCAACCAGCCTCCGTGCATACGCATCTGTTTGGATGCAAGCAGGAGCTATCTGCGCAGGGAACATACAGTGGATTAAGCTAAGGTGTGTTCAAAACATGTCAGGCACACACTAGCTCCATGTGTAGCACTGATTCAGTGCCCCCCGTGTCTTCTATGATATTGCTTTGCTGGTTACAAAATGTGCTAAAAAAAAAAAAAGGAAAAAAAAAAAAAGCCATCCCTGGAGCAAAATACAACTCTGGCATACATCCTCACATGAACTTCCTTAAAGATTTGCTTTTGAAAACATCCGCACATCAGAATTTTATGTTATAATAGAAGACAGTTCATCCCCACATATGGTAAAGGCAGGTGAAACTGGAAAAGCAGAAGACCTGTTTTAGCCCCAAACATGCTTTTCTTTGAGAAGTGAGCAGTAAGGGCTCATAAGGTCTTAGAGACAGCTAACCGGAGACCATCTTCCCTGAGACCCATGTCCACTTCCAACCAGCTAGAAAATCCTCTAATATTTACCAGGGCTCCACTGCTCAGCAGGATCATGAATATGATGAAAGTTTCAAACCAGTTGTGTTCGACAATTCTGTAGCAGGTTTTCCGCAGCCTCCACCAAATTTTTCCGGGAAATTTTGTGATGTCCACTGAACAGCATGGGAAGAATCGCACACAAACTGAAAAGCAGCAAAACAAAAACAAAGTAATTGTTAAAAAAAAACATATTTAATTCTTAAAGCTGCAATAAGGAGCTGCAAACCAATATTTCTTCCAGGAATTAACTGCTGTATGGGGTCTTCCCTCCCTTGTTTTTCTCACCAACCTCTTCTGCTCTGCCTTCCATTTCCCCTTCCCCCTCCTCTATAAAAAACGTTCAAAAATCACTTAAAATGGGCCCCAGTGATTTCTCCCAATGATTTTTATGATACAGAATATATTGGCCATGAGTCACCAGTGCCCGAGGTCAATCACATTGTGTTAGCTGAGCTCAGGCAGCACCCCTGATCAGGACTAATGACTCCAGCAATAGTTGCCACATCTTTCTGAACGGAGGAAGGATATTTTCTTGGTCTTACTGTACCACTAGAATTATTGATTAAAAGTGGCAATCTGATGAAAGGGAGATGAGGGGAAGAGGTGCTGCCGTGTAGATGGGACCAATGTGCTGAAGAGTCCTGGACCAGAAAAGCAGGACCAGATTTTGATCTCTTGGACTCTCATGAGCTTAATAAAATAATTAGAAGAATACTTTGGAAAAGGTATTTAGGCAGTTAAATCCCCTTTGGTGTCAGCAGAAATTTAGATATCCAGTTTCTGTCCACTGTGTGTTCCCCACCAGTGCCTCATAGCCCTTTCTGACCTTAGTGACAAATACTTTGTGATAGTTAAATGCTGTGGTGGTAATGGGGACCACACATGGATTTCTGATAGGTCACACCATGGTCGTTTTTAGTCTTCAGCCATTGGTAATGGACAGATCCATCTCTCCCATTTTAAAAAAGACCCTGTGCATTGCCTCGTTTTGGGTAAGAACTTAAAATTTTATGAGAGGACACCCCGGTAGCCAGGACCTGTCCTTTTCCAGGCTGGCCATTCAGCCTTATGTCAGATAATTTGATTCAAATTTCACAACACTTGCTGATGAGAATGACCCTCAGAAACCATTCTATTTTCAAAAAACAGTAGTTTTACCCTACATTTAATCCATGTGTTGCATAGAAAAAGACTTAGCTATGGAGCTTTATCGGTCCCATCATGAGAAAAAAATCACAGGCCAACTGCTTCCATAGCTGAAAGGTGGTCAAGGTCACTAACACGTCTTGAAGCATACAACAACTGCTCAGAAGTGACAAGGGAGGACATCTCACTATGGTGATGTAATTCAATGTCATTGCAAGTAGAAATAATATTTAGGCAGGGAAGCTGGGGAAGGAAAGAGGGTGAGTGCCAAGGTTACGCAGACACCAGAAGCTGTTAATTCAAGGTGGCATAACAGAGGCGCTTGAGCTGCATGTGATATGCGAGGAGATCAAGTGCAGCTCCCGGGATGCCGGGACTCCCAAGCAGCTGTAAGTGGGGCTCTGCTGGCAGCAGGCTCTGCCAGGAGGAAGAAAGCTGCTAAGTCTGCTGTGGTCCTTCTGGCATTTTCATAGAATCATAGAATGGTTTAGGTTGGAAAGGACCTTGAAGATCATTGCGTTCCAACCCCCCTGCCATGGGCAGGGACACCTCCCACTAGACCAGGTTGCCCAGGGACACGTCCAGCCTGGCCTTGAACACCTCCAGGGATGGGGCCTCAACAACTTCTCTGGGCAACCTGTTCCAGTGCCTTACCACTCTTTTCTGTAATTTTTTTATCAGGCCAGATCCCTGCTATGGTGCAGCAGAACTGTAGGTTGTTTCATAAATGAACCACTCCCAGATCTCCCCTTTCCTTCACATTTCTGACATGTTTGGCAGGTCTTGAATGTATGAGGTTTTGGTATGGGACTAACAGAGCAGTAAACTATTTATGCAAAGGTAATGGGACAGCTATGCAAGGAGCTACCTGTCCTCTAAATGCCTCCGTCACACAGACCCACACCGGCTCCCAGTTTACCACTGGAATTCAGAGAAATTCTGGGCTCAATTGAAACACACTAATTTAATCAAACTGCTTGAGAAGAACGTAATGCTAGGAGGCAATAGAAGTGTAAGAACCAGCTCTCTGCCTCTTTGTAGGTCAGGTACCACTCCGACAAAGGAAAGTTTTACCCCTCTAAGCGTTTCATTGCTGAACACCAAAGAATCATGTCAAGGGATAAAAGGACATCACGTTAGTCACTACTTTTTGCTAAAACCACTACAGTGCTCAGAGAAGGTAATGTGTGTGATTTGAGTATATTTTAGGAAGTAGGTACAGGGAAGAAACTTCAGGCATGCAATACTGCGTGGTACCGGGATCCTTGAGCTCACATACTCGTATGGCAGCTCTGTTTAGGGATGCCCACACGGTACAATCCCACCAGCATGACATGACAGAGGGGGCTATTAATTGCATCTCTTAGCAGTGCTGCCAGAGAACTCTTACTCTACGTCTCACCCCACAACCTGTATGGTCATTACCAGCTTTCAGGTGTCCGGTCCACACTCTGTGCTGTTGTGCAGGTACACTGGCCACCTCATTGTGAACTTGGATTTGAATGAGGAAGACCAAAGACTTAGGTCTTTAGATCCCTCATTTGTCACATGAACAGCCTAATGAGCCGGCTGTTCACTATGTAAGTGTGGATTTCTCACGTGAAGCAGAAATCCCCCTTTGTACTGGAGGTAACCACTGCTTCTAGCAGAATAAAATTATAAGCCTTCCATGAGCCTGCCTTGTTCCCATAAACAATTTCATTCGGGGAAAAAAAAAAAAATCAGCATTTTTCAGACGTCAAACATTTGTCCAGAAAGTTTCCCCTCTTTTCTCCCAAGTTACTTCCTGGGTGGATATTTGGCTTTTCAGTCTTTTAGACGAAAGCCTAGGCTCAGCTGGTAACAGGTATGACATGCTCTGTCATGCTCTTACAGAGTAGAAATGCTTTGTAAGTACCATTGGAAAAGGTTAGGATCTTCCAGGAAGCGGTTTTCCCCACCGTAAGATAGTTGGATGAATCATTCCCTGGAGGTGTCTGTCTCTCTATTTCCACTACACAGGGAGCCCACATGATTACCTGAGCCCAGGCACAGCTAAAATTAGGGAATCACTTTCAAATTAAATACTAATGAGCAGGGCACCGTGAGTTCCAAAGTCACTTCATTTGACATGGAAAATACTTACAAAATGGTAAAAACAGGCTATTGCTGATTCAGTCAGCTTCCATCTCATAATCTACAGGTACAAAGAGGTACTTTTAAAGACAGAAAGCCAGCTAGGACTACTAATCTTTCTTTTTTAATGCTCTTTGATGGCTTTCATGCAATTCCGATCTGAAAAAAACAGTCCGAGTTACTGACAGTAATACCTTGAAAAATCCAAAATAGCTTCTCAGATGAGTCAGCCCAAAATCACAGTGCTGTTAAATCCCATGCTTTTGATTGGGCCCAATTCAGAAATGTTTAGACCAGAATTCTGATACAATTACTAATGTCAAGTAGCACTTCCGTGAATAATCATGCTGGCTGCATTTCAGATGAAATGCTATTTTTGAACTATTCATATATCAAATAGAAAAAAAGGAAACTGAAAGAAAAAAAAGAAAACTGACCACAAACAGGTTTTTTAATGAATCAGTAAAGTTCTATTTCCATTTCAAATTTTCTGATTTCACTCACTCACTGTTATTTCATGCCTGTGCTTTTCTGAACTCTTTCGTAATGCTGGTAGCTTACTGTTCTGGTGACCTTGACCCAAGCTTAAATGCTGAATTAGAAGCTTCACATACCCAACAAAAAAACTTTACCTGACCTTGGTCAGCATTCTAACAGGTTGGGGTTTTTTTCCCCCATTTCTGTGAAATCAAAATATCAAACCCATTCCAATGTGTCTAAGGCATGACCTGGTGCGGGTCTGAGCAATCATAACTCTAGCTGGCTTCTACAACAAGGCAGGTGGTCAGCAGACCCCAACTTCAGGTGTTGAAAGCTACTTTACCCACACGAAGAAGACTATTCATTAACACCTTTTAGCACAGCAAGCATCAAGGCAGGAATAAACCCTTTGGTATTTCTTATAACAGCATTACTCATACTGTCTTCTCTGATAGATTTGTGCCGTCCCCCTGAAATCAATGCTAGTAGGGAACGGGTTGTGCAGAAGCAGCCGACCACTTTGTGATTTAGTCAGGACTTAGTTTTGCCACCCTAATTCATGTTGGAGCTACATCTTTTTTGAGAGCAAACTGACTCATTCTCACCACGGCCTTTTGGACAGTAGGTTACTGCTCAACAGAAGAACAGAACAGCAGAAAAAGTCCCCCAAAAGAGTCAAGTTATTTGCTGGTAAATTAGTGAAGCTGCATCAGTGGTCTACTTCTCCAAGAACGATGTCTGTTTTCAATTCACATTTCATATCATTTTTCATGAAACAGAGACCAAGAAACCTTTCCAAATGCATCAGTACACCATGATATTATTTAGGTTTTGCTTGTTTTTCATAACATGGGAGTTTTTTCCTTCAGTCACCAGGGTGCCCTATAGCACAATCACACACTGCAGATTACAATGAGTCCCAAACTGCAGTCTCCACTGCAGGTGTCACAGAGAAAGCTCTTCCTTTAACGTCTGCCACAATGATAAACAAGTTCCCCCCCCCCAAAAAAAAAAAACCAAAACCAACCAAAAAGCAGGAGGAATTTAATTTACAATGCATTTTGTGTAAATATTCCTTTGGTTCCACATTCACATTTTCTAGCTGGGTGCATTATAATCACGGAGCTGTTAGACCTGATTGCATTACCTTAGTGCATTGGGAAAAAAAATCTCTTTAGAAGCGTGGGAGCTATACTGCAAAAACTTCCTCCTGCATGCATGACAGCCAAACCAATTTATTTCAGGAATATGAGTAAAGACTTTACAAATCTACTGCTTGTTCACACCAACATATACATTTTAATTTACATAAAATGATTAGATATGTTTTGGCTGATTCTCTTCAGTAAACCAGGAAGACCCAATTAATTTCTTCTATACTGTGGGCCGGTATGTCTGGCACCTTGTGTTCAAACCAGAGTAATTTTATAGGTACTTTTACACAGGAGTTCCCAATTACTGGGACACTCATTTTTTTTAGAAAAAAAATGATATTTTGCTTAGCTTGGAATGCTGGTTACTGCATTGCTTGGTTTGACACTAAGAAAATATAGCTTCCTCAGCAGAAACTCAAGCGGGCAGGTCTTCATGACATGTTTTTACTGTGTGTGTATATATATATATTTCTCTGCCAATCCAGGTTTCTAACCAGCCTGGCTAGCTGTGTATGCTCAAGGAAGAAAGCAAGTCGGGCTGTAGTCCCTTCGTAAGACACCAGATATCTTCCCATTTGTGGAGATAACATGATCTCTGCAGAACCCTCCTTATTTAACCCCTTTTTTGTCTTCTGGCCCCACTAACCCACTGGCATGCATGGCTGGGGTTTATATGGTGCAGCTCTAGGGCTAACACGGAAGAGATTTGCCATCGCTGTCTCCAACGTTTGGGTACCTGAGACACACATGGAGATTTGAGTCTTTTCTTGTGTACTACAACCAGGTTCTGCCAAGAGAGCATCTGAAAAAGCCACAGTCTGCAAGGTGTTCTTGCTCTTCCAAGGGCTTTACAAGGGTACATTTCTTGTTTATCTGCTGCTACTCTCCTCAAAACATATCCTCTCGGAGGTCACTGCAAATAACCATGTGATGCCTTGAAGCAAAGGCAGTGGGCAGCCTGGTCCGCCACCGATGTCAGCCCTGCCTTGAGCGAGGGGGTGGATGAGTTGAAATCTAGAGGCCCTGTCCAACCCGAATTAATTTAATTCTCTACATGCAATAGGACAGTAAGAGTTTTGTGATGTCTGAAAATTGTATACAACAAAATACTAGCATGCCCTTCCTGATGGAAAAAAAACCCTGTATCTCAGATATTATGGCTAGAGGAAAAGAAACCTTAAACTTCATTTTGTTCTGTGATTTTTTTTTTTCCCTAGGAAGACAGTTAACATGTTTTGTTGGGTTTGGCTTGGTTTTACTCAGCTTTTAAACATCATCTGGTGGTAGTCCCCACAGCTCAGTTTATATTTGTTCACTTTAACGTTCTGTTTGAGCTCCTCTTTGCTTATTTATTTCTAAACAGCCGCTAACTGCGGTTGGAGAGGGCATGACACAGATCCCACCATTAATCACAGTAACTTCACTTTAGCGCATGGCATTTTCCAGCTGCGATAATTGCTCCTACATGGTCGCTGCGATAATTGCTCCTACATGGTCACATGCAAAACTCTTTGTGGGCGTCCTTGGTGTCACGAGTTGTGATCAACCGTGCGTCGAGCAAGGTAGCTCATTCTCGCACGACCATTAGATGATACTCCTTTGAAACCTTTGCCAGCGGGTTGTGTCCGGGGAATTACGCTTGAGGACTTGGTGAAAACTTTCTCCTATTAGGGTCCGGGAGAGAGGAGCGTGCTGGGGCCAGGGGGCTCTCTTTGGATGACCTTCTGTGAGACACAGAAGAGAATGTCCAAACAGATAGCAATTTTTGATGCAGAGAACACATACCAATGGAGGTAACAGGACTGGAGTGTTGCAAGGCATCCGGAGGAAAAAATACCCAAATAGCTGGCATTGCCTAGATGTTGCTTTCCCATCAACTGGCACCAAGAATGATCTCTCCATTTCTATCAGGATTTTCCCAGCAATACTTGCTAGCTGCCAGAGCTGTGACCCAACCTTGCCTTCACATTTCCTGACCCAAGAATATTTCCCCGTTGACCCTCATCAAAGCTATTTTGAGATGATAATGAATTAACAAGTCTCCCCAAGAAAAAAACGACCTATGGTTTATCTGGGTCACCCAACTCCGGGAAAACTGTGACCTCAGCAAACTTTCAGCAACTATTTCAAGAACATGCATTATCTTTGTTGCCTTTGTTATCTGAAAAAGGGGGCTGAATCTGGAACATATTTGTTCAGGACACAACCTATGCTGGATGTATTTAGAAATGTCATAGTTTGAATTTAGATAGCTGGTGAGCTAACAAGGTAAGAACGTAACCCTTCCCCCTGCTCTTCCTCTTCATCTCACCTAATCTCCTTCTTTCACAAGTATTAGCTGGTCATTCTGCCAAATATACCCAATATTGTTGCACCTCGTTATACAAGCCAGTAAAGGCAACACTAGATAAATTTGCCCAGTGCTTGCCCTTCAAAAATTCCACTTTAGTACTTTATAAACTTGTCATATCTTAGCTAACTAGACCGTTGTTTGTTTGCTTGTTTTTTAACTAGACTGAAATGATAACTGTGTGAGGTTTAATTGCAATGCAACTTTATCTTCCTGCATAAATAAAAACAAATGTTGATGTCATTGCAGTAAGAATCATTGGGACTTTTGGTTTATGGCACTTTGACTTGAAATTTTATAAGTGAATATTCACATGACCAGTTTATGCATTTTTGCCAAATCCATGAGGAATGTGATCGCATTTAGCCTACACAGTAGCCTCTGAAAAATCTGCATGGATATGTGCTACACGGGAAAGTGGAGCAGATATGTGGGGGAGGATGTCACCTGCAACTGCATCCCCGGTGCCCGTGGACACCCTGCACTGGACCGAGGGCTGGGAGCAGGTTCTCCTTCAATCCCCATTCAGAGCTCAGCGCTCAGCTGGCCGTGCCCTGGGAGAAGAGGAAAACACCCTGACTCCCTGACTTGGACAGGGACTAGAGAGGAGCTAGGAGAGGTGAGGAATACAAGGCAAAAGGCAGTAGTGGGGATGCTCAGGGAGAAGGGAGCAGGAGCCAGTATGGTGGATGTAACCCAGGGTGAGCTTGAAGTTCAGCCCACAGCACCTTCATTTCTACATTTCTCTGCTGCCAGGATGACGAGTGGCCTTCAAAACTGGCTGAACGCTTACAGTGATCCACCTAGAAGAGCATTGCTTGCTACCCTGTGTCCCATTGACAGCCATGAAGATCTGACAGACTGGGTTGGTGCTGATGTGGTCTTGCACAATGGAGTTTCAGGCACTTCTGGTTATTTTAAGACAGAGCAAATTACAGAATGCTACTGCTCTGGGACTGGACCAGGCCTGTGCAGTGAAGGAAGCGATGGGTTGTGTGATGTCCGCCTTATTTCTTTTAAAAACTGGAAGGTAATCATGGCCAACCACAGTTTCAGATTTGTAAACTGGCATCTGACTAGCATTGGTCTTGCAGCACTGACTTGTTTAAGCAATTACAGTATAATTTCTCACTTTGTAGTGCACAACATAGATTGCCGATCACCAGCCTCATTAAGAAATATATTGTGAAAGAATGAATACACCAGATCTGATTTCTAAATGTTATTGTACGGGCCAGAATAGTTACGGCATAGTACCATGCTTTCTTCCGTCAGCTGCATTAATTTTTGGCTACTGCTTTTAAGCAGAGCTGCCAAAAAAATGTTTAGAACCTGGGGACATTTGTAAGCCCTGTAGGGCTCCCTTACCTCATTCAATCATCTTTCTCACACATACAGAGATGCACATTTTTGCTGACTTCAGGGGCATTCTTATACCCAGCAAATCATCTCTGTCTGATCCCATTTGAGCAGCTCTGTTTTTATTTATAATAATCCTTGAATTTTAGAGGGAGTATACTAACATTCAGCTAACCCTCTTTTTCCTAACCCAGATTTAAAGAAAAACGAGGAGTCTGACAGAGATAATATTTGGAATAGAACATGCTAAGATAGAACACACAAGAAATAACTTAGGATGTTATTTACCTTATGGATTGACTTAAAAATAAATGTTCTGTTTTAGCTGGGTTTTAAACCTGTTTTTTGGAGCAGGTTGGTGATAAAAAGTTAATAAAATGCTGGCTTAGTTGGGTATTAAAAGCAGTTATGTAAATGTGAATTGTTGTCTAAAATAAGTAAAATACCCTATACATAGCACATCCTTGGTCAGATGAAAGTTACTGGACATGCTAATCTTAACACCCTTTGAAATAAACAGAAGAGAGTCCCTGGGACTCATGAACTCTGCAGACAGTGTCTATTAACTGCCTATACACATTTCAGCACTAAAATATTGCGATCTGGTTAGTTCGCCACCAAATTTGGTCATGCACAGATATTGGAAGGCAAAAATCTTCACTGGCCAAGTTAGAAAAATCAACATATTAAAAAACACTCTATGGCACAAAGCACAATGAAGAAAGCCCAGCATGTTAGAAGCTGCACAACCATTTAGAGTACGCTTTTGGCTTATCTCACCTTGGAAATCCAAAGATTAATGTTAACAAGTGATTCTGAGTACATGCTTTGGAGCATTAAAGTATCTAAGAAATAAAGTGCATCCAGCGAAATACTACTGCAAGCAGCCAGAGCAGCTCGGTGTGAAGGTGGAGGGATGTTCACTGAGAGAAGAGGAGGATTTTTGCCTCAGCATTACAGTGAAACGTGCAGGCCCTTACCTTCAGGGAAGCAATCTTCAGGCTCCATCAGCTCCTCAGCAAACTCAGGGATCTGCTCCAGCAGTTCTGCAGGATTTGTCAAATCCACTGTGCTGCCTTCAGAAAGACTGATTTCATCAAGCTTGTTGTCAACAAGAGCAAAGACGAGGAAAACAAATTGATCAATCGCCCCGAAGGAAGTAGCTGAGCTTTTATTCCACTAACCAATATCCCAGCTAAAGCCACCACAACAGAGACATCGCCACGCACTTCACGCGGTGCCCACTCCTTGAGTGACAGCTCTGCCTACGCTGCGGTGAACCAACAGTGGACCCATCAACAAGAACAACAACAAAAGTTAACATGTAAAACTTATTTTTTTAAAAGAAAAGAGAAGCAAACCATAGAAAGATAGTGAACAGCAACTAAATATTAATGGTAGATGGAAGCTTGGAATGACTGAACCACTCACGATTTTAAGGCCTGTATGTCTTGAAGGCTTATACCTTCAGATGGGGAGACCAGAAGTGGGACCTAGCTCCTGAAATGCTGAAGGATGAATTTGAGGACCTGTGTTAGGTTCCTGTCTTGGGGGCCTCATTCGTGAGGCTCCTCACCCACAACTGATGGGTGAAACCTGCACCTTGTCAGTCAGGACCATGCTCTGCTCCCTGCTGCCACAGCTACTACTCTGACATGAGCAGAAGTCCCTCTGCCACCAGTGTCCAGTCGCACGATGCCACAGGCACACATGTGTGAGAGGGCTCTTCCACCTGTCTCATCCCAGGGTTAACTTGTTCCCACCACGGGATGTGGCCCCTAGCCTTTTGGCCACACAATTCTGATCCAACGGTGATGTAGGGGGAGGGACACATGGCTTTTGAATACCTTTCAGAGGCTCTATCGCCTGCCTGAAATATTTGACACCACCATCTTAGGCGCATTGTTTAAATTCAGCATTTCTCAAATCCTCCTCTGGAAAATGGGGACAAGAATAATCCCACTTCCCAAAGCATTGGTTGTCTTATGTATTTAAAGCAGGAATTTTTAAGCAGATCTGGATAAAAATTTATGGGGAACATATTACTTTCAAAATTTTTTTAAGGGCTGTGCAAGAAATTGGGTTAAATACAGCAAAGGAACTTAATAAAAATCTTATGTTGTGGTTGGAAATTTGGCTGAGTTTGCTATTAAAAGAGATACGATACATGAATAAATAAGTCACCCAAATATGAAATCAAAATTTCATTTTAGGTGCAAATTTTCTTTTAACGGAATTAAAATATTTGCTTTAGAAGAAAATAGGATTTTTTTTTTTCATATTTTATTTTACTAGTCAAAATAAAACATTTCTATTTTTGTTAATCCACAATTATATTTTACTTGATTATGCAGTTTGGCCACTAAAGTGAAAGATCTAATATTTGCCAGCCCTACTCACAGTTTGTTTTGGGCTGTATTAGAGCACTACCTGGCACAAGTGGGCAACACCAAATCTGGTACCTTCTATGGGACATATCAACGCAAAATAGCAATAAGAAGGAGTCAGGAGAGGTGGGTTATTTGTTAACTGTCTTATGCTGTTCTCTGAGTGCTTACTGAAATCTTTTTGTGCTTTGTCTGGCAATAGTGTTGTCTTCATTTAAAAAAAAAAAAAGAGGACAATAATACTTACCCGTGCTTTTAAACAACCTGTGAGATAGTTATATGAGAGATGGCACGTATACATAAAATATTATTTTCATGAGGATGATGGTGATGGAGTTAGAGAACAGGTACAGCTTTATATATTTATTATTAATGTGAAAATGGGCCCTCTGTTTTCCAGTATACACAGTCAATGCAAAATTTATAGCTGAATTCAGAGAAATGCTGAACCTGGGGTAAAACGGGCAAGATTAAACATTCCAGCAATGCTTGCAAGCAGGGATGGAAGATACTTGTTTGCAATTAGCTGCAGCATCCAGAAGGTCATAGTCTTGGCTAGGGTTTTTAATGCTCTACTCAAAAGGACTCTAAACAGTTGAGAAGAGGCCTTTTAACAAGAGAGTCAGAACAGAAAGCACAGGTCAAAGACATGGATAAAGCTTCTAAAAAATCCATATTCAGAATGCAGCTGTCATACAGAGCCCATTTTCTACAGACTACCAGCAGTATATGATAGTGGAAAAAATGTCATACCAAGTTTTAGCACAGTCAGAACTTTCTGATACTTTTCATTAGGGAACGCATTTAATCATTATCTCTTCTGTTATTAAGACGTCAAAACACACATCACTGAAATAGTCCTAAATCATATACAGCTGTAGGATGTAGAAAACAGGGGTTCCAATGAGAAAAGAAGCCTTGTTGGATATAATTCCTACCAATAGACGGAAATCAAAGAAAACTGTGAGAACAGTTTTCAATAGCATTGTCAATGAGAGAGCTGTATTTAGCAGAGACAGGTTAGGAAATTCACAGAACACAATAGGGTGCAATTATAACAGACTATGAGGAAAACATCTTAAAGAATCAAGAATTCTCAAGAGTTATTTATCAGGAGGGGTTTTCAGAAAATATTAGAATCCATCAGCACCAAAGGGAGATGGGGAACATGCAAGACAAAACAGACGGGATTTCTTCTGAAAAGCTTTCAAAGAAGAAGAGGCAGCGAACACGGATTCAGAAAACACTAGACAAAGGTCTGAGGGTCCAAACTGAGACTAGAAAAAGAAGGAGCCATATGGATGAGAGAGGAGGAAAAGATTAGGAAAGTTTGTAGGAAAGAAGCAAAGGTTACTCTTTGCCAAAAGGGTTAAAGGGATTAAGAAGGTTTTCATGAGCTCGGTAATGGAAAGAAGAGAGATAGAGACATAATAATAATTGATGAGGGAGATGTAACTAATCAAAATTCAGTTGCCTAAGAAAATAAACTCTTTTTAAAAGAATCCAACAAGGGGATCAATAAAAAGAGGGGGGTGAGCCTGCTAGAATTAATGCAAATGTAAGTAGAGAAATATCTAGAAAGCCTGAAACATATGCAAATCAGCAGATCCAGACAAGGTACGTTGTAGGGCATAAAGAGAGCCAATACACCAAGTTAACACACCATTAGCGATCAATAGTGAATGCTCATGGAAAACTGGAAACAGCCCAGGAGAGCAGCAATAAGTAAACACAATACTGAGCTTAGAGAGGAGGAAAAGGGAATAATCATGGGAATCACAGATCACTAAACACTTGCTGTAGCCTGTGATTAAAACAAATTAAATAAAGACTCAGAGGAGAAAAGGAGAGTGCTTTCTTGGAGTGAAATGTCAAAGAGACATAAAGGCAGTGAGGTGGCTCTCCTGGCTGCTAAGGGTACTATGCACAAACGGGGTACAAAGAGGAAAAAAGACAGCAAAAAGGACAAACGCAGAATCTCCCCTTTCTTTCTTGGAACAAGTGAGTGGAGGAGGTGTACCAGGCAGAGACAACGGGATACATCAGAAGCCCCTTTGGGAGATCTCCCACTAGTGCATGTATTTATACTGCAGAGCTTAGTTTTTAACGTATTTCTGGGTGGAGTGGATGTTTTAAGGCTTCCACATACACCGCTTGTGTCTGTAATAGTGGCAAGTTGATCTGAACAGATTTTTCAAAAAGCCTTTAGCAGTGAGATGTTGAAATCTCATTGAAAGCTGATGTTTGCTCAAGGCTTAACTCTCTTATCTCCCTTCTTCTCTCCCTCACCTATGAAGATCACAGCCTTAATCTATCAAATCGACATATGATATATAAACTTCAAGAAAATATCTGGATGTCTATTGTAGAAAAGTCTACTTTTGAAATAAATTGTAATTGGCTTGGATTCACCAATCGATGCGTGGAGAAAAGCCGTCCTAAGGAGCCAAATATAACACAAACTTTGTTTTCAGGGGAGGAGATCTATAGGGATTAGAGTCAGCATTATCTTCACTAAAGATATAAAAGAGCTACTGACTGATATAATCCTCGTGTTAGCCCATAACATTAAATTGGAGAGAGTATTGGAACCAAGGAAGCAGAAAGGAAAAGAGAAGTGAAACATGGAGAGAATATAGCAAAATGGGACTTGGCTCAAAACAGTAGAAATGAGAGAGTTCCAGGAAAATTTCAATGGAAATCCTGGAAACCTGGAGAAATATTAAAAAATTAGATGTGATTTTTACAGTGGAGAATAACAATGCAGAAAATCTATATGAAAGCATCATGTCTAGATAATGAAATACTATATCCTCTCTTTACAGTTCTGTGAAAGTTGTATTTGTTGGAATATTGTGGTTACTTCTTGGCAAAACAACTCCAAAAAGGAAAAACTGAGGGAGTTGCAAAGAAAGAGGTAAAAAAGTCAGATAAGGGGCACAGAGATACTCATTTACAAGAAATGATGAAATGAAAGAACAATGGCGTGTGATTTCTGGGGTAAGCCAAAGACAAAAGGGAGCAAACAACAGTCTATTAAATTGAGTGATACTAATTCATAAAAAGTGAGTGATGGATAAAATTGGTAAAAGAGAATAATGACAGTACTTTGACAGGGAAAAAAAAGGGCTAGTTATTAAGGCAATATACCCAGCCATAAGATTTTTTCTAAGCTAGTGAATTGTTCCCTTTGGTAAATGAAAAAAATCTAAGCTGCCTGATACATTTAAATGTACATTCCACAAAGGTGTACAAAATATTTTATGGGACAGCATTTTGGCAGAGAAATCAACCCCTTTTGTTCTCTGAGGTCTTATCCACCTGTGACATCAATGGTTTTATTTCTATGGTGTCCCTGATGATTTATATAGGATGAATTTTTAATCATATAATGTATCCTTTACTGACATCAACAGTGTTTTATTCAGAACACATTCAATGCTTCCTGTTATTGACTGAATCACTCAAAGCCCTGCCTCTTGGGCATACCAAATCTGTTAAGTTACTTCCTCGCAGTTGCTGGCTTTATTTGGCTAGTCGCAAGTTCTTGGGACATTCATCAAAATGATGATTAGCATGTCTTTGTGTGCCGGCACAAAGATTACTTCTGAATAGGAGGACTGTAGGTATGTAATGTCCACGCAAGATCTGGCCCTCAAAAATAGCATCCTTTGGGCTTTGCTCTTTCATGTTGGTATTC